ATTTTATTTTCTTTTTCTTTTTTATCATTGTGTCTTTTGTAATAGAGATAACTCTTTTGAGATCCTCATTAATCTGCAGCTCACCTCTTGGTTTCATAAGTGGAAAATAAGAAAATCCATTTCTAAACTTTGTCATTTATAAGCCTGCTAGGCTGTAATAAAATTATACTTGCCCATATTGTTTGCGCCTCATTTGACTTTAAAGCGCCTTAGGGTTTCTCTTTGCACCCTTTCCCTTTCTGTCTGGTGATACAGTGGAGACAACCATAAGATATTAATTCCTTTCATATTTCACGCTGTCGATGGAGCACGGGTTTGTGGAAGCTGATTCTTCATGGTTGCTCACAGTGGTCTGATTGTAACTGATGGGTAAACGCACGTCTGATGGTGTGGTATATATTTATTTGTTTTATTAATTGTGTCCTCTCTGCATGCTGAGCTTACAGGTTATTATTTTTTTTACTTTGTTGTGTACATGTGGTGGGATTAGTCTGGCTCCCACTTTCCCATCTGGAAAGAAATTTGGAATAAGATGTAAAAAATACTTGATTAAAACAATGGAAAATTGCTGGATTTTGTTTGCAGGAAACCTTTAAATGTTTTGTTTCTGCTGATGTAAAAAAAAAGTGAAAGATTGAGAAGGTTGTAATTTAGTCCAGTGTTGAATGACATGGTGAAAACCCAGCTGGAGGCTCGATGTCCACGTCTGCAGTTCTGCTCGGTCTAAAAGATAACACTTGGTTTGGTCTGTAGGGTCAGTTTCCGTTTGCATCATTCAGTCATAGAACCCATCTGCCTCTGATGTGTTTCTACTATATAGATGACACAGACTAGATCAATCTGGTTTGGTGTAGGAGGTTAATCCTATATCATTATCTGACTCAGAATCCTTGTTGTTCTTTTGAATTATACAGTTTTACCATTTAGGTTTTAGTGAAGAACAGAAGCAAAGTTTAAAGGGTCTGTTTTCTTCTTAAAGCTGTTTACCTTCCCTTACAGCAGTATTTATACTCTTTGAGCTCTACATATCGTCATATTAAAACCACAATCTGTATTTTTTTTCTATATATTTTTATTCAAATGTGGTAGCACAATATGAAGTAGTATAATATTATTATATGGAAGGAAAAAGTTGAATAGTTTTTAAGCGTTTTTGCTCATAAAAATCGAAGAAAGTGTGACGTGAACACAGCGCACACATAGACACATACACAGATGGATAGAAATAAACTGGGGCTCATTATAGCCACTTTGCCCTTACAACTGCAAGCCTCTTGTTGTATGGTCAATATTTGCACATCTATAAACTGAAATCTTTGTATATTATTATTTTTCTTTTTCCCCCCAGTATTAGATTGTCATTGCACTGTCACAACTACAGCGCAATGAAATTCAACCTCTGCATTCAACCCATCCTCTTGTGGAGCAGTGGGCTACCATTTGTAGCGCCCGGGGCGGGGTGGTCTTTTTGGATCCAAGGTGGCAGTCTGTGGGAGCGGGTTCTTGCGAACTCTCAACCTCAGGATTCAAAGCTCTATGCCCTAGGCCACCATTCCCCCATTTTCCAAATTCTTTCCAAATTCTTTGCAAAATGGCTCAAATTCCATAAGAAATAGGCAGGGCTGCAAATATTTGATCAATTATTCTGATTAAGTATTACTAAGAAAAATGGATGGATTCTATTTTAAATACTTAAGCTTGTTTTTTTTTTTACTTAAATAAGTTAGTGGCGAAGGTTATTGATAGAATTAACTTAAACTTTATTGTTTTTTATCAATCAGCTACCAACCAAGTGTGCATTTTGTTAAAAACATTCCCTTGAATGTCTCGCTGTATAAAAAAGGTGTTTCAAAAACATGACGCGTTTCTTTTTTTTCTTTTTTTTTTACAATGTTCCGAATTTATAAAAAAGCATATCCTTTAGCAATTTATTCTGTAAGTTCTATTAAATACTAATTAAAATAAAGGAGAAAATAAAGAAGAAATCCCTATAAGTCCCTATGAAATGAGATGTAAATTTCTAATTATAGACAAGATTATTCGCTCTGCCATACTGTTAGACTTTACACTTCATTTCAATAAATCAGACGGTAAAGTTAAGCAACTTAAAAATCTGTGGTGGGAGTGACACTTTGTTCTTCTTAATGAGTGCTTCATGGATTTCTCTCAGAGAATGTTAAAACTTGGCTCCATGAAAAGCATGAACTCATGAAAGCCCTCGCATTTAACTCTGCTCACTGGTATATCGTTTTCTATCTATCTGAAAGTGGATTTGAAAAGATGATTGTACAAAATGCTTTAGCATTTAGTTATCCAAATCCTCCTTCCTCCTACATGAAGGTGAACGTCTGTCCAAGTCTAAGTGTTTTTTAGCCTTTAATTTTTCTCCCATTCTTTTGCAGAATGGGCAGGTTTTAAAGCAGAAAAGCAGTAGTTGTCCTGTGAGCAGATTCTTCCTACCTGAGCACTGAATCTTTACATGCCATCCACCATTTTCTGTGTCTGTTTTCTTAATTTTTAGAAAATTGGAGGAGCATTTGAATATTTTTAAAGGGTTTATTAGAAGCCTGTTCTCTCAAATTCCCAAACCTTTCAGTTTCTGAGCCACAAAATGTTACCAGAGTCAACTCATCCCCCAAACTATTGGTTGACTTTGCAATAGGGCTAAAACAATTATTGTGATTAATTGTGATCAATCAATTATTGTAATAGTCAAGTAATATAGTGCACTAATCTCTCTTTTTTTATAGAGACTATAAAACATGCATTTAGCTGACAGAACAACCCACCTTGAGCAGCAGTTATACCCAAAATTGTAAAATAATAACACGTAGTTTGCATTTAAGATAAAAATCTTTTTCGTCTTGTCAATGTGCTCTATCAGAACTCCTCAAGTGGAAAAGTTTTAGTTTCACTTGGTTTAATTTAGCAAAAGGTTCTCTTTAAGGAACTGATTGATTGACTTTGTTGATCTCACAGTGTAGAAATATACTCGTTACATCAGCTTAACTAGTCAAAAAGATGAAGAAGGTGCCAAAAAGGAAGAAAAAGGTACCAAATGGTAAATTGCACATTATACATTGCACAAGTTATTGTTGTTGTAGTGTTGCATTGTGGAGTCTGATGGCAGAAGCGATGAATGACCTGTGCTAGTGCTCCTTTTTACTAACAGGGTGTAAACGTCTTTTACTAAAGGAGCTGCTCAGCTCCTCTACAATCCTTTTGCTATCTGGTTATTAATCGACGAATCAGAAAAAAAATCGACTGCCTTAGTTTGCAAAAACTTTACAAAATAAACTAGCCTTGGGTGAAATTACACTACTAAAAACATCAACAACCTAAGTTATTGGTTTTATCCATTTTAACTGATGCTTGTGCATCTGAGCATTTTACCATAAAGATTTATGAATATTTTTTTTTTTTGGTGGAGCTTAAGATATCATCCCAGTTGATCAAGGATCCATTAGCCCAACTTTGGGATTTAATACTGTAAAAAACCTCCAAGACTCTAACCGAACAGCTGGATTCACACAGAGGCTGACTCTACTGGCTCGCTATGGGTGACCACAGTACAGGCCCATGCATAACATGAACAGATCAAAAACGATGTCTACACAAAAGCTAAGAGTTCTGTTGACCAAAGAAGGAAGTTTTTAGTTTCATTTGTGCTGTATTTTTTTAAAAGCAATATTAAGAAATATGCTGATGGACGCCTCCTGCAGCCATTCAAAGAGATAATTTCCTGGATAAAATGAAGTCTTATGTAAGTTCCTCCTTTTAAACCATCCCTCATGAAGCTTCTGAGTAATTGCATGGGTTTCTCTCCAGGCATAATAGTAGAGCCAGCCCCCCCCACCCCCCACAAGAATCTTAGTATCTCTGCAATGTTCAGTCAGCAAGCTAAATACCACAGGAAAACCTAAAGGCTGTGAAACAAGCTCTGAGTTTACAGTGAACAACAAACAAGGACTTCTCCACATTCCTATCTTGTTTTTTTTGTGTGTGTGTGTTTGTGTGTGTCCGTGGCTTTAGTTAACGGCATTCAAGTTTTCCCGCTTAACAAATAACTGGAAAAAGCATTATAACTTAATACCTGTGAATAATTGATCAGATATATACTAAGGAAAACTGGTTAATTATAGAAATTTACCAGATATGTTTTGTTTATTTTAATGTAAGACAAGTGACCAAGTTATAAATGTGTTTAATAGGTGTTTTTATAAATGGGTTAAAATATCATTAATCCCTGCTTTAGTTCATACAAAATGTTTCTCTGATGTTCTTTAAATAATTCAGTTCAATTTCATTCTCATTTTCAACCTTTAATTTGCAGATGCTTTCGATCTCTCGCCTTAGTTTTATTATTAAGAGATCTCGTCTGTATGCAAAGCCAATCTCTCCCCCTTGCGTTAAGCTGAGCTCTTGTCTTTTGGCTGCTTGTTTCGGGTGACATCAGCCTTCAAGCATGCGGCCCTTCGTGGCTGAGCCAGACCAGATCGGGTGGCTCCATTCATCTCAAGGTGCTGTCTGCTCGCTCCCTGATTGCTCCAGTTCAAGCACACAATCAAAAATCGCTTACTGTAGCTTTTGTTTGCCAGGTTTATTTTGCTTTTACTGTGTCCTCTATGTTCTTGTAAACTCTTTAGAGAAAAATATATCAGTTGCAATCTGATTCTCTTGTTTTAAATGGCATTTGTACATGATTAGACAATGTTCATAGCTTTCATACATTTTCAACCCCTAAATAAATCTGTGGAGGTTTCAGAACATGCGTGCGTTCTTTGTTCTTGTCTCTTGTCCTTTCTGTGGAGGATTATTCTCACTCATCCCTCCTGAAGGCGCTGATGAACTAAGTCAGTGTGTATAGCTGATAGGCTTAACGTCTGCTTGCTGAGCAGAAGATCTTTGATGCTTAGTTGCACAAAAATGTGAATGTGACATCTTTGCCATGTTTTCCTCAAATGTACCAGATCTCTGATGTTTTGTCTATTTCCTTTCAGAATGAGGAGAAGCGTAACCTAAGCCTGGGCGGCCATGTTGGATTTGACAGCCTCCCTGACCAGCTGGTCAGTAAATCGGTCACGCAGGGTTTTTGCTTCAACATCCTGTGTGTTGGTGAGTAACAAAATGTGAAAGGAAAAAAAAATTCTTACATTGGCAAAAAATATTGGCCAAATGACGTATTAGTTTAACTCTAAAGGCACAGTTATGTTTGTACATAGATTTAGAGCAGGAAAAATGTCTGCAGCTTTTATATTCCATGTGGCTTTTCCCGTGTTATCAAATATTCTGGTTCACATCAGGATGACGGCAAGCTTTCAACACCACATAACATGTAGGAGTAGAAAATAGAGCTGTTATTAACATTTTCAAATCTACTCTATGTCGTACAAGAATTAACCGTAGTTTGTTTGCCGGTTTTTCAGGCTGATATCGATTTCTCTTCCTCCATTTATGTATGAAAAATCGCCATGACAACAAATGTTACAGAACGATTGAAGTATTTGAACAAAAAAAGAAACATTTATTATGAAATCAAATAAATCATTAACAATAGATCACAAAGGAATCACAATGGATGCACTGATCTCAATGCATGGCTGCTGAATGTGCTTAGAAATCTGCAAACGCTTGTACATTTCAGCCGATAGAATAGAATAGAAAATCCCTTTATTGTCCCACAAAGGGGAAATTGTGGCATTACAGCAGCAAAATATTATAGCAAAAGTGGTCACACAAATGTGGACCTTAAAAAGTGTATGAAAATAACAGAATAAGTAGGAGAGTTAAAAAATAAACATGCATGAATGCAACAACTTATTCAGGTTGTTGGGTACAAAGATGGTTATCGAGTCATACAGCTGCTTGGAGGAAGGATCTGCGTTAATGCTCCCTGGTGCATTAAGGGTGCAGCAGTCTGTCACTGAAGGAGACGATACCAGTACAAGAAAATAATGCCAATATTGTTTAAAGATAGTGGCTGGCCAGTAGGGCTGAGCGATATGGACCTTCAGTCTTATTGTTTTATTTTCTTGTACTATTGTGATAATGATAAACCTAACGATGAAAGCACTCTTCATTCATTCTTTGAAGTCGCTCTTAGGTTAGTGAACAGCTGTGAGTGCATGCCACAGCAATCATAGCCCACTATAAAAAAAAAACAAAAAAAACACATTAATATAGTCTTCTTCAAGATAACAGTTACATAAAAAAGTGGGATTTATATTTTTACATATGCTGTAATAACCACTTTCAATCATGTTCTTACAATTACAAGAAGAAAGATATTTACAATTAAATTCACAACTCGACCATTTTAAACATAAAAAAATAAAAAAAATTCTAAACTAATTCTAATGTATTGTACTTGTTGTGTTCTGCTTTATCCGGGACCGGGTCGCAGGGGCAAGAGTCACAGACACTCCCAGACCTGCTACCTCAGGAGTCCTATCGAGCCTGGCTGGGTTGATAGGACCCTATTTAGACTCCATGTTTCCAGCTAGTGCAAATTGAATTTCCCTTACCCAGGGCTCTACCCGATGTTCCCAGCAGACCCTCACTACTTGCTTGGTCCTGCTGAGTCTGTCCAGCTTTCTTCTTTTGCAGACATCCATTTCAACACCACGTGGTGATAGGTGCACAACTCCGCCCCTCTCTTCACCGATACATCATTGACCTCTGACCTAGGGTGTCCTGGTGCCACCGACATCCTCATACTTGAACGTGGTGTTTACTATAGACAATCCGGGAGTTGCATAAAGGTCCAATAATGAAATACCACTGAGCCTATAGAACACCCCCTCCCAGGGGCACTAAGAAGGCCTGGTACTCTGTGCTGCCCTTCGTCCCACAATCCAAAACAACAGTTTTGGATTTTGGAACCCCAGCCCAAATGCAAAGGGATGCAACCCTCTTGTCCACCGGGGTAAACTCCAACATAAGATGGCTAAGTTGTGGGAAGACATGCAGCCCAAATCCCTCTGCGTTTCTCCCCATGGGCCACTCCAGAGTAGAAGGGAGTCCAGCCTCCCTCAAGGAGCTGGGTTCCAAAGCCCAGGCTATGTGTGAGCTGGTAACTGGTACTGCTTCCCTTCCTGCACAAGCTCAGGCTCCTTTGGAGCCGAACACCAGGCTCCAGTCAACCACCACCCCCAGAGCCCGTTTGCCTTGGGAGACCCAACCAGGGGCTTTTTAATACCCCGACAACACCTCGACAAGAACTGATGTATAACTAAATTAGGTTTCTAAGTTTTTTTTTGACGTATTCAGGTTTATCAGATACCCCAAACTCACACTGGATGATTTAATTATTGTGATCTGTTGCCTAAATTTCATTCTCCTCCCTTTTTTTGGTTTATAGGAGAAACTGGCATTGGCAAATCAACACTGATGAAGACTCTCTTTAACACCATGTTTGAAAACGAAGAGGCGAGCCACTACCAAAACGGCGTGTATCTGCGACCGCGAACCTACGACCTGCAGGAGAGCAACGTCCACCTCAAGCTAACGATCGTCGACACCGTCGGTTTTGGTGACCAGATAAACAAGGAGGACAGGTAGGCTGTACCTGATGTAGATGTGTCAAAATCTTTTATTGTCTCTAAAACTCTCTGTAAAAAAACATCATGGTGCAAATGTTGGCGCGGATACCAAAGGGAGAAAAAGAGCATTTCACTCCTAAATTCCACACACATATTTCTTTTCTCTGTGGGATTTAAAGGGGAGGAGGTGGGGGGGAGGAAAAAAAAAGGAAGTAGTTTATTTTTTTGTAAACATTCAGCTGTGGAATGAAGCGTCCTAGCCTCGGTTCAGCCAGTAAGCTGTACTCTCACGCTCTTTGATAGCAGCTCTAGGCCTTAAGAACCAACATGCTGAAGGACAGACCCTGAAGCAGGCTGGAAATGAACACTGTAAGCTTCAAAAGGTCAAAGCATGCACATACCATAGAGAAGATTGAAGAGAGATGTGAAGATTGTGGACAGATGGTCATAAAGAGGAGATGAAAAGTTTTTTAACCCATGTCTCCCTGTGAGCAGTAAAATATCACTGATGTGGGACATCTTTTTGCTGAAAGGGATAGGAGATGGTTTATTCATCATCACTGCTTAATGCAATTTACAGATTCATTAAAGCATGACACTCATGTTTTTTTTTTAATACAAAAAGAAAAAAAAATTCACCACTTAAAATTCCAATGTTGCATAACTTCCATATTTTAAGGGAACTGTTGAATATTAAAGGTTTAATCTTTATACAGAATAGAATTTCAAAGGCTGATAGAAATAAACCAGGAAATACATTTTATTAATACAATCAAGAAACTAATAAGTTAAATCTTTTAGTAAAGCTATTTCATTACCGTATTTTCACGACCATAAGGCGCACCGTACTAAAAAGCGCAGTCTCAGTTATGTGTCCCATTTCTGTATTTAACACACACATAAGGCGCACCAGATTATAGGGCGCGGGTTTTATATACCGGTACATGTCCTCTACTACCTTAAAATACCTCTACTGCGTATTTAAAAATAGAGCGGGAGCAAAACTGAGTATGATTGTGCTTTATTCATGTATTTATTACAAAGTATTAATAAAGCCTGGGAGCTGACCGTGAGACAGACACATCGCAGATGACAGAGCGCTGTGATCACTCCTATATTAACTTAAAATCCTGAAACCTGCCGACGGAATATGTTCGCTTTTATTACCGGTATCCTGGTGCCTGCAGTTTAAATTATTTAGATGAAAAACACCTGCCAGCCAGGCTACCCGGCCTAGAGGCTGCTGATGAAGGGATTTCTACTGTTGGTGCACAGCTGGTATGTGGGGGTCTGAGCGCCTCCGACAGAAATAGATAATCTGGATGAACTGACTGCAATTATGAAGTTTTCAGGTGGACTTTCTCACTTACAAACATATTAAAACTACTTTATTCCCACTGATCACAGCAAATATAGCTGCAAGATTTAGATTATTTAGATGAAAAACACCTGCCAACCGCCGCGGTGAAACCAGAGGCGACGCGGCCCAGAGGCTGCTGTTGAATTAAGTTTTCAGGTAGAAAAATAGAGCGGGAGCAAAACTGAGTATGATTGTGCTTTATTCAAGTATTTATTACAAAGTATTAATCAAACCCATCGAAGTCATCATCATTCAGTTTCTGAATTAAACAGCTGCGCTAAATCAGACATGCCAATTTCCCCTTCTTCGCTGTCAGAGTCACTTTCCGTGCAGCGCAGCTCCTCAGAAATAATGCCAGCGTTTGCGAAAGCTTGAACAACAGTGCCAGCAGACACGTTAGCCCAAGCATCTACAATCCATCCGCAAACGGTGGCGTAACTTGCCCGGCGCTGCCTTCCACTTTTCGTCCCGGCGCTGCCTTCCACTTTTCGTCAAACCACCTGTTCTCCTCACATACACCTGCCTCAGCCACGCTTTCATCATCTCCTCATCCATCCAGCCTTTTTCATTTGCCTTAATATCATATGTCATCAGAGCGATGTGTCTGTCTCGCTGTCAGCTCCCAGATCAGCTTCTCTGATTGGTTGATGCGGCGCTTCCAGCAGCAAAACTTCAATTTTTCCATCTCGAGCAGCAGCAGCGCGTTGGCGGCGCGCTCCCGACGCGCTGGGCCTGCTGCTCAAAACGCGCCGCGGGACCTTTTGCTGTGCCTATACGCGCGTCAACCATTGACTTTGCATGTAAACTTGCTGCTTCTGCTGCACCTGCTGCTTCCGGTTCACACCGATGTCGAGCGGTTGAATAACAGCAGGCACAGCATTAATTTGTGTCCCCATGTTTTTCACATCAGCTGTGAGATGGGCATGCATGGAGTCACATATTAACAGCGATGGTGATGAGTGGAAAAAAAACACCTGGTCTCCATACATTCACCTCCCTCAGCCACTCTTTCATCATCTCCTCAATGAGGTGGTCTCAAAAGTCGCAGTTACAACACACATAGGGCGCACCGCACATTTTGAGGGAAAAAAAAGACGTTTATGTGCGCCTTATAGTCGTGAAAATACGGTGATTGTATTTAGGGCTACTCACTTTTTTTTTTTCTTCTATCAAGTAGTTCAGTCTTGGACTTCTATTATTCAGTTAGAATATAGTTATTTACTCCCATCCTTAATCTTATGTTTTTATACTATTTGTTTCCTGGATGCATCTTTTGACAGAAAATTATTACCTTTATAATACAAACTGCACAGAGCTTTGAAAATCTTAAGTGTTTTATTTTTTATATTTATGTATCTTTTATCATTTTGCATATATACTATACAAAACTACCGTATTTTCTAGACTATACAGTAAGCCGCTTATTTTTCCCCCCCTATGCTTGGAACCATGCGGCTTATAGGCAGGCGCAGCTTCTCTGTGGATTTTTCCTAACTGCAAGAGGGGGAAAAATAAGTGTCTAATTTTCATTTTTAACAAAAAAACATTCTAGTAGGCACAACGGAGGTCAAATGTCTCGAAATAACACATTTTGACATCTATTTGCCGCTTTAAAGATGTCAGACCAATGAGGAGACTGTGCTCAACTCCTGCAGAACAGAAATAAAGAGCTGATGAAGCCCCATCTTTCATTTGAAGCTCTTACTGCTTCGAGCCAGCAAGCTAATGGGAGCTAGCGTTCTTCTTCGTCCCTAATCAAGGGGCCATATGTATAGCTACTTTACAGGTATGGTTTGGAGACGGTTCAGTTGATATCACCAGCTTATAGCCCGGGGCAGATTATATATTTATATATGTACATTTCCATTTTTTTTATTTTTTATTTTTTCAAAAAAGCTAGTAGGCGCGGCTTATAGTGAGATGCGCTCCATTGTACGGAAAAAAAACGCTATTTATTTTTCATCTTTCTGTAGAAGTTGAAGTAAAACTTAGTGAAATTAGCTTGCAGATAAATGGTGCAGCTGCATTGCCAACATCTTTGTATGGAGCCAATCAGTTCTTTTGATCCATGTGTTCAAGAGTATATTTAGCCATCCTGAACTACTGAACTGATGGGTCCATTTTACATGTTTTAACAACTTATTTTTTTTTTTTATGTTGCATTTAGTCTGTTCTTTATTCTAATTTTATTTCTAGAGTTTTCGACAACAGGAATAGGTTTGATTTTTTTTTTAGCTGCAGGTTTCAACTTCTCATGAGAAAACATCATGAAACTGAATAGTTCATATTTTACATCCCAGAGAGAGATGGCAGGGTGATTTGTAGTGTTTCAGTGAGATGTTTGTAAATTCATTTTCATCAGAGTTGAGCTGTGCAACTCTAAGCTGGGATCTTGGCATAGGATCAGAAAATCCAGCAATGAAAGCATAATTCTCTTGGTTCGTTTATTCAGCTTAGGGCTGCAACTAACGATTATTTTAAAAATCGATGAATCGGACGATTATTTTTTCGATTAATCGATGAATCGGACAAAAAATATTTTTTATATTAACCTCTTTATTCCAAAATAAACATTTTAGACATAACACACAAGCACACAAGTACAGGTTGCTCATTAACTGTCCTGGTGCAATATGAAAAATAAATGTTTGTGTTAAAACTACGTAAACTTACATGAGAAATGTAGCTGTACATCCACAAAATATAGGGTACTTTGTTTCATAAAGCACAAAAAAAGACATTTTTGTTTTTAAAAGCCCCTAAGGGGTTCAAACAATAGGCCCCCCCATTTCAACAAATGAGTTTTTTTTAGACTAGAAGAGTTCTGCCTTTTAAGACAGGAAAGTATAGCAGTTAAAGTTGCTACTTGAGAAAATACTGAACCATAGAGATAAAAATAGCCCTGTGATTCAAATTATAAATTGTATTTGGAATAAAAATGAGAGAACTAGGGGTGCTAAAAAACACATCCTCCAAAGACAGATATTTACATGGGAATGTGGCAGATAATTAATTGACATATTACTGATCTTGCTGGATTTTATTCTGCTTTACTTCCATAAATTGCAGGATCATCTTTACTTTATCTTTGCCAGATTTAAACTTTAAAAGTCTTGCCCTCATAATTTGCAAGTTAATTTATTTATAAAGAAAATATAAACGCTGCTTAAGCTAATTCAAATGAAATTAAAAGTAAAATAAGTAGCCAACCTTATCACTGTCTGTAACCTACTAACACGGTAAGGAAAGCATCAGATGAGCTACCTGAGAAACTAACGTTACGTTTCCCCACTTTAAAACCAAACAAACATGGTGCTTCCGTGCCATGTTAATTTCTTTTGAAAAAAGTTGCATGTTATCACTTTTTTCGCTTTACAAAGCGCAGGCTATTTTAATTATTGTGATCAATTTGCGCCGTCCATCCCGGTGCATGCGCGCTTCATTTGCAGTCTGGACGCTGAGGGTCTGACTGCAGCGCTGAGAGGGAGTCCTGCGGGAAAACGCGGTTGGGGTGGGGGAGGCGCCCCACGGCAGAGTAGGAACGATACATGCTTTCACGTAAGAGTCTCCAAAAGCTGCCAGTGACACCGAAAAAAGTTGCCAGATTTGTCGCTAGTCGCTGTTTTGAAAAATAGTCGCTGGAGGGGTCTGAAAAGTCGCTGAGTTGGCAACACTGCACCTGCGGCGCTGACTCGCTCTGCCATATTTTTTTTGCTTCCTCTTTCAGTCAAGAGGCAGTGATGACGGCGCGGCGGATGACGCAATAATCGCGTGACACAACTAATCGATGATGAAATTCGTTGCCAACGCTTTTAAAAGTCGATTTTTATCGATTTTATCAATTCGTTGTTGCAGCCCTAATTCAGCTACATGTTCAAATTTTCCTACATATTCATTACTAACATATGAATGGAAAGAAAAATATTTTGTTTTAGCAGAAAGGAATAATTCCAGTTTTTTTTTTGGCTCTGTCCACAGTTACAAGCCAATTGTGGACTACATTGACACCCAGTTCGAAAACTATCTCCAGGAAGAGCTGAAGATCAAACGCTCTTTGTTTAACTACCACGACACCAGGATCCACATCTGCCTTTATTTCATCGCCCCAACGGGACACTCCCTTAAGTCCCTGGACCTCGTCACAATGAAGAAACTGGACAGCAAGGTATACACAGGGGACACACACCCTCTTACCCTCCAGCCATGCTTACCTGAAACCCAAACCTCTCCTTCACTTTGAATGGCGTTTATTTCAATGACCTGGGATTCCTGGTCTGTTTATGTCAGATTGATGATGCTTTTTTCTGAAAGAGAAATTACTAAAGTTTCCTCTTGTTCATATAGAGTTACCTCCAAGGATTTTGGAGGTAACTCCTGTTGTTTCTGTTACTCTTCTTGAAAACAAACTCTTTGAAAAGGTCACATATTATGCTCATGGAAACAAGTAAGAACTAAAAGGCTCCTTTACAAGAATCCAACCCATTATTTCGGCTCCTAATAAAACAACCCCACCTGACAAAAGTTGTGTACAGACAAATAAATAAAACATAACAGATAAAGGACAAATCATCTCAAACATGAGTAAAAGTAACATTCACACAACCAAAGTAATACAATAAGGTAAAGATTAAAGGAAGAAAGTGATTAAATAAAGCCCACTGTCTTTCTATGTGTCCAAATCCAAAGAGAAAAGGTGTGTTTTTAAAAAAAGGGATTTAAAAGCAGTCTGAGAAGCGGGCTGCCTGATGTGCTGAAGTGGGTTTTTCCAGAGGTTTGGAGCTGCAATGCCGTAGTTTGAGGCTCTCTCAGGAGCAGCTGACCCGTGAGAGCTGGTAGGTGTATAAGGATGTAGAGGCATGGTGGCCAAGACCTTTCGAATTAAAAGCAAATACAATTATGTTAAAATGAAATCTAAAATATATGGGCAGCCAGTGGAGTGAAGCTAAAATGGAGATGTAGTCATATTTGCTTGTGCCAGTTAAAAGGTGTCCTGCAGCTTTTTGAACCATCTGGAAGCGGGAGATGGAGGAGGCACCAACCCCCACATAGAGGGCATTGCAGTATTCCAGCTGATTGGTAACAAAGGTGTTAATTACCATTTCAAACTGTTGCCTTGAAAGAATTGGCTTTATTTTGGCCTTCTGCCTCAAATGATAAAAACTTGATTTACCAACAGCCCTGATCTGGCTGTCAAAGACCTGCGTCCACTTTTACCCCCAGGTTAGTAATGATGGGTTTGATAGGCTGGGCCAAAAAGCCCAGATCTGTTTCAGTGCTGCCACTAAACATCATCTTTTAAGTATTTTTTCATTTACGTTTAAAAAGTTCAGAGACATCCAGGACTTTATGTCGACATGGCTCTTGATTAAGGCATCTTTCTTTTTTAAGAGGGACATAAATTTGACTGTCATCTGCATAGCAATCCTGCTCGGATCCATACATAAAAATTCTTTTTAAGTATGGATCTGAGCAGGAGCAAATAGAGAGAGAACAAGACAGGACCCAAGACCGAGCCCTGGGGAACCCCGCAAAACACAGGAGCAGAGGAAGAAATAGTCACTAAGGCTGACACAGAAAGTTTGATCACCCAAACATGACCTGAAGCCTTCCTGATGCCCACCGACTGCTCCAAACGAGAGATCAAGACTTTGTGTTCCACAGTGTCGAATGCAGCAGGTTAATCTAAAAGCTCAGGAATAATACAGTCAAAAGCTGCTTCGGAGTTGTGCATCGATTAATTAATTGATCTAAAATCCGAATTGGAAAACCTCTTTTAATAAGGCCTTTAACCGAGTGCAAACTATCTTCTCGAGGCATTTCAGAGATCAGCCGGAATTTGGGTTTTTTAAATTGGAGGTTGTAAAACTGCATGTTTAAAATATACAGGGACCACACCTGGCAGACTGCTATTAATACGTGGAAGAACAGGGGTTCCAACAGTAGGGAAGACCTCTTGAAATAATAAACAATATATCGAATAATAATAATAATAAATCGAGGAGGGGCAGCATCATTCGGAGAACCTGAGGGCCTCAACCAACCAACACTCTCCTCTAGACAGGACAGAGACACAGGCTTGATCTGGTCAAAAACATCAGAGCAGGTGACAGAGATTGGTGGGGTGTAAGCAGCAGGGGAGATGAGAACCTTTGCAGAAGAGACTTTATCAATGAAAAGTGAAGAATGTATTATTTTTTTTACAAGCACTAGGAGAGGCCTCTGTATCAGCAGCCCTTTTCACATTATGAGCAGAGTCAATTAATCTCAACAAAACATGCAGTTTGTGACAGTTAGGATACTATTAGACAGATTTTCCCACTTAGCATTCTTCACAGTTGTCTGATAATGTCGCCAACAGTCCCTTAATACTTGAAATGAAACAAAAGTACAGCATCACTAAAATAAGCTAATTTAAAAAAAATCCTCCAAGTTCTAGTGTGAAACTTTTTAGTACAAATAAGCAGCTAAGAAGATTAATTACTCCACATTTAATTTACTATTATAATAAGACAGCTTTTAGCTAACTTTCAACATTTGTTTAAAAACCTGAAATTGTATTATATCATAAGATACTAAATAATTTTCTATATAAAGAGAAATGACCAGTGGATTACATTTTAAGACCTAAGAAAGCTCTGATGTGACGACATCTAAGGGCTTTAATAAGCCTTTCTGTCATAATGAATCATCTTTTTAGTTAATGACCAGATGGGTTGCAATAATGTGTGAGACAGAGAGCAGTCTGCATCAATGCCCTGCAGTTATGAAAGATTTTATTGATGTTCTAATATAAAGATGCTTGCAAAACAAACTTTAGCAAGATTTAGGAACAATCCTAGCAAGATTAGCATTAATCACAACAAACCAAGAGGGTTAATCCTGGAGAACGGTTAAAAAAGCATTAGATTTTTGTCTTTTCAACCAGCCAATTAATCAACAATCAAGATTTATGAAGCATAAATCTGCTGCTGTAGTCTCAGTTCATCTCTAGGTTTTTTTTCACTTTTCTTTAGACTATAATAAAAACATGTTTCCTCCTAAAAAAAAAGAAGCTATTTGTACCTTTTAGAAATGATCCATATAGCAGCTCCTCTAATGAACTTTAAGTTCCACTTTCACATAGCTTGAACTGACATGTTTGCAGGTCGATACTCAGCTGTATGCTGGTCAATAGTCACAGTCAGACTCGCATCGATTGTGGTTTGTTCGTTGCTCATGTGCCAGTTTTATTAGACACAGTATTGGCTGGTGGACGATCTGTCTTGTTGCATCTGTGCTCAGTGTAGCTGACCAGACGTGCAACCCCTGGCATTATTACCTTCACACTATTTATTGCAAATAATCTCCTCAAAATAGGCAGAACCTAATTTAAAATCAGTGAATATAAGTTTGATTTTAAATGACAGAAAACTCACAACTGTATTTGACATATTTTTAGCTGTATTTTTTCCTGAATAGTTTATATTTTGGTGGGAATTAAAAGTAGTGCATGCAAATAATATAATCGTTTCGGTAATCAAATATTTGTTGGGTCATTAGTTGGATGCAGAGCGTCTCGCTCTGAGATTTTTCCTTCACACTGTTTCATTGTTATGGCTGCTGACAGCACTGCTGCAGAAATGACTGAGGCCGTATTCGAGCTGGTCGTTTTTCTGCCCATGCACAAATAACTCCAGAAAACCAGATGGAGATGGTGTAACTAAAACCTGCTGCTTTACCTCTGCCAACATTCAATGCATGTCTGCCAAATACCTCCTGATACTATTCATAGCCGTGCCTGCTTCCTTAAGCAAACTCTACTCTCAAGGAACAGAAATCTAATTATCTGTTAAGGAAATTAATATTTAGTAAGTTAAAAAAAAACTGTCTATTAACATTTTTATTGTATTTTCTTTTTTATTTCTTCATTGTTCTGCATCTTAACTACACAAGGGGAGCTTAGAGCGTAGATTTAACCTGCTCTCACTTAAAAAAACATGAAGAAATCCTCATTTAGAATTTATTGGGCATCAGTAGTGCTGACCGCTGAGCTTCACTGCTCTCATTAACTGCCAATAGAATCATCAAATCCTGGCACATAACATTTACCAACCTTCTGTTGACAAATAAGCACAGAGAAAGCAGCCAAATGTTGTGAGAACGGAATCAATTACCTGAGCTGAAGTTTAGATTTGTCTCGTATATCTTAAGATATACAGATAGAATAAAATCTGGAGAATTTTGATATTTTTAATGTTGATTATATAAAACAGTTACATTTTTTTCCATTTCTTCTCTTATGTACGCTTTTGAAGTTCAAAGCATTTTTTACTATACTTTTACCTTCATCAGTCTCTGTTTTCCTGCCTACTAAAATCCAATTCACCTCCAACTATTCAGCCTGCTGCTCTTTTCTGCGTCCTGCCTTCGCCTCTAGAGGCTCATGAGAAACACTCCAACACACCGACTCGCTGACCTCCTGTAATAATTTCATATTGATGTGTCAGTGGAGGATATAAATCTTTGGTTAACTTTTAACAATTATAGCTGGTTCTTTATGTAGTCTATATATGGCAGCAAAGAAAATAAGGAAATAACCACATTGCAGCTGTTTTTTTAAATAGATTTTCTTCACAAACCTTGAAATGTTTTTTTATTTAAGCAGGAAAAAAAACGGATTAGTTTAACAGCCTGTAGAGTGGGCGTGTGTTAGAAAATTATCAATTCTTCGGATAGTTTTCAATAAAAAATAGCTCAAGAAATAATTTTCCTAATATAAAATTCAGAGTTGAGGGAATCAATAATTTTTTTTATGCTATTTAAATACGATTAACTAACTGTAATAGGCAAACTAGTTTACAAGATCAAGTGGATTAATGATGTTTAAGACTAAATAACACTTATTGAACTTGATAATAACTTGATTTATTTTTACTCCCAATGCTGTCGGACATGGTTAAGATATTACATGTAATATACAAGCATTTCCCAGAGGTGTTTTCGGTATAAAGTTAGTTTTAAAAAGACAATTGACATCCTTCATGAAAGTTGTTTCTTGTTAAAAATCTAGGAATGAAAAAACTCAAAGCTCATTCTCTGAAAGTATCATTATCATAATAATACTCTGTTGTATGAAGGAGGTTAAAATGAAAATAATTACTCATGTTTTGGAATAAAAAAATGTCAGAAACTTAAACTCAGGCTATTTTTCTGTTGGTTTTCCTGCAGCTGAAATGTATTTCCAGCTGGTGGTCATGCTTGTTCACAGCAAACTGAGCTATTTTGGAAATCTTTCTGTTCAGCTGGGAAAACCCGGCTGTGGGAAGCGAATAAGCGTCACTGCCCCCTCCTCCTTCCATCTATGTGTTCGGCCATCTTCTCCTCTATCTGTGTCAGCCGTCACACAGGGCTGTTATCAGCGCTGGGTAGCAATTAGTGAACATGTTTTTTTATTTATTTTTTTTTGTTTTAAATAGTGGTTAACACAGGATGCTGGGGTTCTCAGCTGCAGATTAATGATCCAATAAAGTGTGATGAGATTGTAATTTGAGTCCTAATGAGCGCTGTCTTTTTCTCAGAGGCTCACTATGGGACTGATTAGAGTGGATCTGTGGGGGTCTTCACATCATTCCAGATAGATTTTTAGGAAAGCTGCTGTATAGAAGAATGCAGACAGATGCTGTTTATTCCTGCACATCTGTAGCTGATGCTTCATGGAATGCAGTTTGTTTTTATAATCGCAGTTCGCTGTAATTGTCGCTTTTTACCAAACCTTTTCTGTTTATCTTTGCTGCATGTTTGATATGCGTCATGGTTAAATACAAAACAGGATTATATTTACCCGAGGTGAACATCTTTAAAAAAGACTTGGAATGTTTTCCTGTTGACCTGGTGACCCAGACTTGGCTTTTTTCTTAACCCTTAACCTTTTTTTTCTTAATGATTTTTATCATCCTGCTCCCTCTGTGTGGAGGAGAGATGAACTCTGCTCTTTTCCAGCCTCGTCTGTAACATTTTAAAAGATTTTATCAATTATGTTACTGCACATTTGAGAAAGATGGGATGAAGGGTTATTTATTTGAAATATTTTTGCCTAAATTGATGGGTTTGTATGCTTGTTTCATATTATATATATATATATATATATATATATATATATATATATATATATATATACCTTTAAAGATACAGGAAGACATAGGTTTCTAAAAAGAGTATTATTATTATTATTAGCATTATTAACCTGAAAAGTTACATAGCTAATGCTGTATATATTTTATTGGATTTATAAACGGCTCTTGTTATTGTGACAATGACAGTTATGTTAATAAACTAGATTTACTTCATTTACAGACTGGATATAAAAGAAATACCTAAAAGAAACTTATTTATGCAAATATTTAGAGGGGGATCCAATCATCATGGAGGATGTTGAGTTTCTTCATGCAGACATAAATTATAGAAGCACTTAGATTCACGTAAATAACTAAAACTGTGTTCCATAGTGTAATTCTCTTCCTGTCTTGATCCTGTTTTTAGGTCAACATAATTCCCATTATTGCCAAAGCGGACACAATCTCCAAGAGCGAGCTTCACAAATTCAAAATCAAGATAATGAGTGAGCTGGTGAGCAATGGCGTCCAGATCTATCAGTTCCCGACAGACGACGAAGCTGTCAGTGAGATCAACTCCTCGATGAACGTAAGTTACCAATATTGCTATGCTTTCGTAATGGGGATTATATCATGTGCTAAAACTATTTCCATATCGCAAAAAATGACAAAGACTGAATCAGTCAGTCAAAATATTACTTTAAGACATTTAGAGAATGTGTTTGCTTCCATTAATTTGATGTTTATCCATTAGTGGTGAGTAACACATTAAAGTAATTTCTCCCAAAGATCCCACAGAACAGTGTTCCTCTGTTGCTTTTCACTTTGTTTCAAGCTTCTTTGTGATTGGATGATCCTACTATACCACATTTATGTAGATAATTAGCCTTTTTTGTTCATCATTAGCTTCGTTCTTTTTAAGCAATATAAAGGTATTTATTATTATAGTTCGTATCTATGTTGTTTGAATAAGGCAAACCTCACAGAGATGGACGATCACAGGATAGAATAGAAACTGACCCAAAGAAGAGAGAAGATGCAGGTGATCCGTCAGGAAAACACTTATGACTACAGGCAACGAGCAGTAGTTATACCCATGACGGAGATTTGTTGGGATTGGGACGATGGTGGAGCATCATATGCACAACAGAACAAACCACCACACAGCTCCAGAAACACATGAAGCTCTCAGGTTCTCAGACATGAGGTGGAGAACTTGTTAGATCCTGGAGCTCTTCCTGCTCTTCTGAGGTTGACATCCTGCAGGATAATGGTCTCCTCTAGGATCACTACTACCTCTGGATTCTCTTTCAGATGGAAACACCTTAATGGGAAAATTTCAATGATGTTAGTTGATGTTTTAACTGTAAGATTGGCTCCTCCCCCACACCATCACACTGCCTCCACTGTAAGATGTCACGAGATGTGTGGAGTATCTTTCAAAGTGTTCTTTACCTTTTCCCTTAACTTCTTTCAATAAAATTGTACTATTAATAATTTTGCAAATCAATTAATTGATTAATAATTGGACAGCCAAAGGTTCCTTAAAGAAGATTTTTTATTAAATTAAACCAAGTGAAACTCAAACTTTTCCACTTGAGGAGCTCTGGATAGAGCACATTGAGTAAAAATCTTAAATGCAAAATTAATCTAAATCTAAAAAAAATTCTTAAATGCAATATATATATATATAATTTCTCTTTTTTTTTTTAACAATCTTGGGATAATTACTGTTCTAAGTGGGTCAGTCTGTTTAAAGGCATGTTTTACGGTCTCTATACTCCAGTTAACAATTAATTGATTACTCAATTAGTTGACAATTAATGCAATAATCGATAAATCCGATTGTTTCAGCCCTACTAACAAAATACAAAGTTTAATACAATGTCCATTTGACTACAAAAATAATATTTTTGCCTGTAGGCTAACATTTTTTTTTAATAATTAACGCATACCTAAAATTCTTGAGAAAGTAGTTGCCAAACAAGCGTGCGATCACTTAAATCATAATGAACTTTTTGAAGAGTTTCAGTCTGGCTTTACAGCTCATCTGGATGTGCTCTCTTCATCCTCTGGCTCGGAGCTCGTCTGCCTGACTGTGTGTTTCCTGGATAGGGCTGCCTTTTACAGCTGCTTTTTGTATCTCTGCTTCTGTCTCCTTGAACCCCAGTCGGCCTCAGCAGATTGCCGCTCACACTGAGCCTGGTTCTGCTGGAGGTTTCTTTCTGTTAAAAGGGAGTTTTTCCTCTCCACTGTCGCTACAAGCATGCTTAGTGTGAGGGACTGCATTTGAGTCAATGAGTCAATGAGTCAATGAGTCAATGAGTCGATGCAATCAACTGGTTTTCCTGAGATAGAAAACTAAATCAATTTGATTGTATGATCTGGTTGAACTGTAAAGTGCCTTGAGATGATGTGTTGTGAATTGGCGCTATAGAAATAAACTGAATTGAAAATACTGCAAATTAACTTTTCAAAGGTGTTAAAACCATCTTAGAATTTTTTTTTTCTTTTGTTGTACCAATTTTCTGTTTTTCTTCTTTTTCTATGATGGCGTGTATGTAGTTTTGCGACACATCCTTATGCTGAAATGCATAAATGAGAGAGTATATCCATTTCCCTATGTTTTCTTTTTTGTGTACTCACCTTTCCTACTTATAATCTGTTCCATCAGTGTCCACACCCACCAGCTGATTTCAGCTCTCCATCCAACTCTTGAGGCAGCGTATCAGGCATGTTTTTCACATGGTCACTCCCTATGAAGTGTGTAAAAACAGCCTTATCTGAGGCTTAACGCTTATTGAAAGATTGTAGAACTTTTTCATGTATGACCATTTCTATGGTCTTAATCTGGATGGAAAAAAATAAAAATGATTTTAAAGGCTACAGCTGAACCTGTAGACTTTTAGTAAACCTCATTGAATCTTTTTTTTTTTTTTTTTTTTTTTTGCACAGGCCCATCTTCCATTTGCTGTGGTTGGAAGCGTGGAAGAGGTCAAAGTGGGGAACAAAACAGTGAGGGCCAGACAGTACCCCTGGGGAGTGGTGCAAGGTAAGAGCGGCTCACCAAGGTTCATTCACACGCAAACCAACATGGCTTTGTGGGATGTGTTCACTAGTGTTAGCTGGTAATAAACAATATACAGCACAGATGGAGTACTGAACTGGAGTGTGTTATTAACACTACCATTTCATTTTATAGTTTTGGGCTTTTTCACACTGCAGTATTTTAAAAATGCCAGGTGATTTTCAAAACTTGGGAGACGTGAAACACGACAAATACAAATTCTGGGATAGAACAGGTTTGGTCGGACGTTTTTAAGCTTTCGAAGAGGCAGAAAGTACTGAATTAAAAACACAAAAGACTGAATAACATTTTTTTTTCTGCGCAGTGAGGCCTGAATATCATAAAGTAAACACCATAGTTGACATAACAGTTACGGCTGCAACTAACAATTATTTTGCAAATCGATGATTCTGTTTATTTTTCCAATTAAACGATTAATTCTGGATGGAGCATAATGACAGTAGAAAAAGATTTTTATCTTTAATGCAAAATTTTCATATTTTTTCTTTTTACACTTTTGGTATAATTGTTGCTCCAGGTGGGGTCGCTCTGTCAGCTCAAGACACGTGTTGGAGTCCCTACACTCCAGTTAACAATTAATCGATTACGAAATTAGTAGATGATTATTTCAGTGATCGATTAATCTGATTAATTGCTTCAGCCCTAATAATAAGCACTGATATCCAAAAAAGTTAATTTGAACTCTGTGGGGTTTTTGGAGCCTGAGGTAAATGCCTCTGAATCAGCTTCTCCAAGGTGTGCATTTTATTCTAAAGCCATTTTTGTTTAATTCAATGTAGAATCAAGCAGTTTTTGTAAAAAAGATTTGTTTTGATCAATGTATTTTGTGCATGCCAGTGTGAAGGTGTATTTGCAATCGTTAGAGCGTTTCCCTTAATGAACAATGTCTAAGGGCTGGTTATCCTCCCGCAGCAGTGTCTCGCAGTGAGCTTGTTGCAGATATTTTTGATTTATGCCCAATATTGAAGTGTGGTCCGCGCCTTGCTATTCTATGCCACAACGCAAGAGGGACAATACCGAACTAGCTGTGGGTCTAGATACGGCTGAGGCGGTAAGGAAGTGGGGGCAAGGTTGTGTGACAACGGAGGGGCATGAGGGTGGAAAAGGGCGGAGATCCAGGTGGAAAAAGGGTCCCAGCGTTCTCGCACCTCGCTCTTCTAGCTGGTCCATCTTCGCGAGTCGTTTTCTGCAATGGCGGTTAAGGTACCAAACAGGAAGTATGCATAGAGTAGAGTGGATGTAGATTTGAGCAGTCAGAGGCCTCCTGTCTGCGGTCGCCTACAATTTTTGAGAGATGCAGCATAGGGTCAGCAGAGGGGGTGGGGCATATTTGCATTCACTGCGACACACACACAACCTGTTTTTTTTAGTATAAATCAGCCTTAAGAGAGCAGCTTATCAAGCTATTAGTGCTGTTATGAAGTATTATTCATAATTTACTAAACAATTAAGAATTAATCTCATCTACCTGAAAGTAAATTAGAATCACGATGTGCATTTTATGGCAATCGTCTGATGTGCCTGTAATCGTTCCAAACACCTTTTTAACCTGACATTTCTTTTTGTTATGAAGAAAGTTAATCCAATTTTTCAGAAGTTTCTATGCTGTGATAATAAAGAGCAGGATTCTCAGGTAGGTAAGCCAATATACAATACATGCAGAGCACACAGTAGCTTCTGCACTAAATATGAGTAGGGAACTGGATATAAAATAGTGATGTAAACAAATAAGCTCAGATATTGTGCAACAGTTATGCAATAGTATTAAAACAAACATTGCCATATCATAGCTGTATAGGTTCAATGTCTATAACAGTTTTCTCCATTTTGCTTATTCGTTTGTCTGTTTTTTAAAACCAGTCTGGTCTTTAAAAGCTCCTTCATCATTACAGTGCATTAGCTGCAGTGGAGAGCACTTGTGGTTTTTATAGACTGTTCAACTCGGACATCTGTGTCAATTACCTGTGGCTTTATTTATACTCAGTTGATGCTCTGCGTGTCATTTCCTGCACCACATAGTGAAAGTGCAAAAGGTTAAATAAACTTTAAGTCTTTATATTATTTTATGTATAAATGTCTGTGTCTGTCCAGGGTTAAACTCTTCACATAGAATGCCTCTCATAGAGATGTCACCACTAACGTCAGCTTTCTTAGGGGTTTTCTTTTCCCACTTCTCATTCCTTTGCATTTGTCAGTGCTGGTAAACATTTTGATTTAATAATGTGACACAGAGGTACGCTGTGAGAATATTAGTACTCATGAGGGAGCTCCTCGCAGGAACTGTGTCCCCTCTTTCCTTGGTTTACTGCTCCTTCTGGCCGAACCCTTCTTGTTTTCCTCTCACGTTAAGCTCCAGCCCTCCTCATTCTTCAACCCTCAGAGGATGCTCTTTGTTTTTATATGAAGCCTACTGTGCGTTTCCTGGACGATAGTTTTTTTTTTTCCTGGTGTCCCGATAAAGGGACAGCACTGTTACAGTTTAATGGTGATTGAAAACAGCCTTTTGAAAATAGCTTTTTGAACCTTCTGTAAAAACTACTTTGAAAAAATTTAACATGTTTTTGTTTTTTTTGCTTTAAAATTCATGAACCACAGCTAAACTGCGTGTAACAAACCTCAAATCTGCCTCATTTCTTGTCGTATGTGTTTGTCGTGTTATAATTAATTCACTCTTTTACTTCTTTCATTTCATTTGATAACTGTTTTAAAAACTTTGTAAACTAAATGTGAAAACAGACGGTTGGAGGACAGGAGCCGCCTTGTGCTCTGCTGCTGTTTATTGACTGAAACAAAGATCCCCGTCAGTGAATACCGTTTGTTCATGCCAGATGTCATATAGATTGGTTATGTAGCCTCTTGAAAAGAGCCATGAGAAATTTCCATCCCCTCGAGGAGAGACAGAGGAAGGACTATGTTGTGACCAAAAGAGTAATTGCAGGGAGCTTAGTGAGTCTGCTTGTCTTTCCTGAGGATCTCATGGCTCTGTTATCTCTGTGCTTCCTGACATCTGTAACATACAGCAGACATCTGAGGTTTCCACTCTAAAGCCCAATGGCTGAGCCCTTTTTATGCAGGAAAACAACATTTTTCTAGTGGTGCGTGTGAAAATGGATATCAGGAAGCAGGAATTCATTCTTATTCTAGGTTTATGTTAATGTGCTGCTTTGAGACAAGCAATGGATTGTTGATCAGGCAATTCATAGAAATGACAAAAAAGTGTATTTAACTGATGATTATGTTTATTTAGATGTTGAAATGTGAGAATAATTTACTAAGAAAGACTTAATTCATTCTACCATGACTTTCTTCTAATAAATGGTTCTGCTTCCTGGCATGGACTTTAGGGGTGGAACAGTTCACAAAATCCACGGTTCGGTTCACAGTTTTCGGTTCGGTATATGTTGATTGTTAGCCTGACGTGTTGGTCGTGTTGCTGTTAGCATAAACAAAACCTGTTGCACAATGCTTGCACACTGTTTTTATCCACAACTTTCTTTCCGCCGTCATCGTAGGTCACTCTAAATGCAAAGTGGTCCCATACGCTGCTTTGCTTCTTCTTATTGTTTACTACTGGTGGTTGGCTTTGGTCGCAGTACCGCCACCTTCTGCTCTGGAGTGAACACGCTTCGCCTATGAGAAAAAGGAGCAGTGCATGAACCGAACGCAACACATGCGAATCGAACCGAGACAGTCGAACCGAACGGTTTTCAGAAACCGTTCCATCCCTAATGGACTTTGAGATAAAGTCAAATCATAAGACGGTGAACTAGCTGTATCATTCCACCTATTATGCAGTGAAACAGACCCTCTGTTTGATGCTACCAATGTCGTGTTTTAGCATTGCTGCAGTGGTGTTAGATTCCAAAGCCTTGCTTTTATTCCTTCAAACTATTCCTCTCCTATAGCCAAAGAGCTCAGTTATTTGTTTTCTCTGATCAAACAACTTTTCTCCAGGACAAATCTGCCTTAACCATCTGGACACCTGCAAACCTATTTTAAATTCTAAGCTGCTGGTTTTATTTTAATTTTATTCTGAGTTCATGTTAATTGGAAATGACATCCAGACACTATTTGATACCTGACACCATTTCTGATGAATTGGGGACTAAAAAATGCCACACATTTCTAACATGAAAGATTCGTCTTTTCAATTATAAAGGTATAGTGGAGGATTTTCATGAATTTTTGAGAAGACTCGCCCTCTCCATTTGAAAAAAAAAAACATGCACATGCTCAACCCTGTACCCGCCCCTACGAGGGAACGCCTATCAAATGCATGCGAGAGCGTGCACGAGCCCATTTCTCCTCGTGCATGCTCTGTTGAAAAGTTGCTCTTTGCATCACTCATACACACTTACTTTCCAAAAGATTCGCAGTTACCTGCACTATACCTTTAAATAAGTATGGAAATCATGCAAGATGAATAACCCAGATATAACACCATTTGGCAATATTTTAAGGTCCTTTGAGGTGTTTTTCCTTTTAAGATGAGAATAATTTAAAAATAGCAAAAATATTCAAACAATACTTGTATTATCTGGATACAGTGTTTGAGTACTGATACTTTTCAGGGTATAGATGCTTTTAGTGAATAACTGTGTTACAATGGGATGTTTTTTTTTTTCCCCCAAATTCAAGTTAAACTGTTTTTAGCAAAGCATAAAGGAGGAAAAGATAAAGCCTTAGGGGAGCTTTCCTCTGCCCTATTGAAAGTTAGGTTTACAAGCTGGACCGATGTCAGATATTAGCCAGTTTAAATTAACTCCACTAATTCTACTAAGAGCAGTGTCAGAATTAGAAATATAGAATTACATTTATAGAAGCCTTGTTATGGCTGTAAGATTTGCTGAGGGTATTTCTACTCAGACTGTTTGTGAAATTGTGATCATGTGAGGAATTAGTGAAATTCCTCTTCTACTTCGTAAATAAACAGTGTTTAATATAACTATAGTAATCTTTGTTTTACAATTTTACTCTGAGGAAAAAAAGACAACGATTGAGCATCATGACTTCACTGTTGATACTATGATTCTTGCACTGACTCGTATCGCGTCAGCAGGTGGTCCTTTAAATGTTGGATGCGGTCACTGGTGTAAATTCCTTCCTCTCTCGTTCCTTAGTTTTCACTTTCAGTAGTTTGAAGTTTTCATGTGTGATTGGATCACCCAGGATGCATGTTAGCACAGGGGTAAAAAGCCTCCTCTGTGTCAGCAGATTTCCTTGCTTCGGTGCTCTGATCTGCAGCCAGTCAGAGGATTGGCCTTTATTTAGCCCTCAGTAGGAGACCAGAACAGAGAGGTTATTAAAAAGCCGATAAGCAGGCAGTTTCAGAACTCTTAGCGCCTCCATAAAGCTGCTGTTTTTTTGTTTTTTTTTGTACCTTGTTTTTTCCTTTTACCACTTACAGGGTGCTAGCCAACAGAATCTGTAGTGCTGTTTTATAGGATGTTTTTATAATGAATTTGGGTTTTCTGGAGGTATTTTGTGTTTTTCCTTTATTGTTAACATCGATCTGTCACATTCTTGTTTTGTCTGTTCAGTAATTTACCAGTTTGCTCCTTTTCTATTGTTTCTCACAAGTCAAGGTTAAATATCCTGACTATTAGGATTTATAAAGGGCAGGTTAAAGGTCATTTGGTCACCTCTCTATGTTAAAGGCTTTCCGTTTCTGGTGGCATTTAAACAGAACCCCCCCCAAACCACTACATGGGCAAGTGAGCTGTTCATGATACTTGGAGTCCTGCTTATAGTCTACAGACACGGCCGTTGGGTAAAGATGTGAGGATCATTGACTCTGATTAGCGATTCAGCCCATCTTTTTAGATTGTCCTCTTACTGCGGTCCTTTTTAGTGCGGCCTCTGAAACTGAGCTTTTTCCAGCTAAACCCTGATCCTCTTACTCTGAGGGAAAAACAAGGAAAACATTCGAAGCTTTTTGTTTCCTTCTGGCCCAAGTTTGATTTCTGATGTGAATGAAAATGCAGACTGGATTTTACCGCCATGAATTTTTGGGGGTAGGACTAGGGCTGCAACAACGAATCGATAAAATCGATAAAAATCGACTTTTAAAAGCGTTGGCAACGAATATCATCATCGATTAGTTGTGTCGCGCGATTAATGCGTCATCCGCCGCCGCCGTCATCACATCCACTTGACTGAAGCGGGGGAAGAAGAAAAAATACGGCAGAGCGAGCCAGCGCTGCAGGTGCAGTGTTGCCAACTCAGCGACTTTTCAGACCCCTCCAGCGACTATTTTTCAAAAAAGCGACTTGCGACAAATCTGCCGACTTTTTACGGTGTCACTGGCGACTTTGGGAGACTCTTACCTGAAAGCATGTATCATTCCTACTCTGCCGTGGGGCGCCTCCCCCCGCTCCCGCAGGCAGCGCTGAAGTCAGAGCCTCAGCGTCCAGACTGCAAATGAAGCGCGCATACACCGGGATTGACGGCGCAAATTGATCACAATAATTAAAATAGCCTGCGCTTTGTAAAGCGAAAAAAGTGATAACATGCAACTTTTCTCAAAACAAATTAACATGGCACGGAACCACCATGTTTGTTTTGTTTTAAAGTGGGGAAACGTAACGTTAGTTTCTCAGTTAGCTCATCTGATGCTTTCCTTACCGTGTTAGTAGGTTACAGACAGTGATAAGGTTGGCTTATTTTACTTTTAATTTCATTCGAATTGGCTTAAGCAGCGTTTATATTTGCTTTATAAATAAATTAACTTGCAAATTATGAGGGCAAGGCTTTTAAAGTTTAAATCTTCTGGCAAAGATAAAGTAAAGAAGATCCTGCAATTTATGGAAGTAAAGCAGAATAAAATCCAGCAGGATCAGTAATATGTCAATTAATTATCTGCCACATTTCCATGTAAATATCTGTCTTTGGAGGATGTGTTTTTTACCACCCCTAGTTCTCTCATTTTTATTCCAAATACAATTTATAATTTGAATCACAGGGCTATTTTTATCTCTATGGTTCAGTATTTTCTCAAGTAGCAACTTTAACTGCTGTACTTTCCTGTCTTAAAAGGCAGAACTCTATTAGTCTAAAAAAAAACCTCATTTGTTGAAATGGGGGGGCTATTGTTTGAGCCCCTCAGGGGCTTTAAAAAAAAAAAAGTCTTTTTTTGCACTTTATGAAACAAAGTAGCCTATATTTTGTGGATGTACAGCTACATTTCTCATGTAAGTTTGCGTAGTTTTAACACAAACATTTGTTTTTCATATTGCACCAGTACAGTTAATGAGGAACCTGTACTTGTGTGCTTGTTTGT